CCCTACCCCTACCCCTACCCTACCCCTACCCTACCCCTACACCTACCCCTACCCTACCCTACCCTACCCTACCCTACCTCTACCTCTCCTACTCTACTCTCTCTCTCTCTCTCTCTCTCTCTCTCTCTCTCTCTCTCTCTCTCTCTCTCTCTCTCTCTTGCTCCTCGCTCTCTCTCTACACATGCTCCCCTTCCATTGGATTCTTGATTAACCCTACCTGTTGAGTCAACACGACCTTCTCGCGACCTCTCAGGTTGACCACAATGCACTGCTCCCCCTTCACGTTCTGGAATTCCGATTCCACCGAATGAATCTGTTCCATGAAGAGTAACTGTAAGAGATGCAGGCAGATAGACGTTATACACACATCCTAAAACAGATTTTGAGAACCTGCTGATTTTCCGCAGCATGTTTTATTAGCATGAATAGAAGTATATTCATATACATGTTCATGGTAATAGTGAAGAGTGACGTGTAAAAGTTGGAAGCATGATGGCATAGCCGATGATCAGTGGCTGCTGGCTTTACCTCTGGTTTGTTACTGCCGGAGTCTGGATGCAGTTCCACCCGGTTGGGGTAAAGCTTGGCGTAGCGCGTCTGCCACGCCGACGCAAACGGACCGCCCAACTTCTTCATGTAACCGTGGATAATGCAGTCCGATTCTGTGCAAACACACAAACACACGCACATACAGACACAACCCGTTAGTGTCCAACCTCTAATGCATGGAAGAAAATAGGGAGAAGGCGAAAACAATAGTGACAAGAAGGAGGGGCATACAATAACGGAGGAGGTGTAGGTGGAAACAATGGTGAGAGAGGTGGAGGTGGAAACAATGGTGAAGAAAGGAGGGAGAGCTGGAGGAGTGAAAAAATACACGGGGGCGGCAGGCTAAATCGCCCACGAAGTTCCAAAAAGAGCTCCCGAAAATGTGATTACGGGGGCGGCAGTTAAAAAGAAAACTGTTCAAAATCGCCCCCGAAATTGCACGCCTCGAAGTCGAGGCATTATCATTGGTTACACAAGCCAGCTGCAGCTGAAAAAACTGCTGCAAAACCCGCAATGCCTGTCTCAGCTATGCAGTGGCAATAATTTGCCAGCCAACCGTTCGCGATCTCAATCGCATCATTCCCGCATATTATATGCATGCACACGCAGTGTTTCCCTTGCATTAACACGAGCGAAGTGGGCGCCTCGCTCAAATTCTCAGCTGCCACGCAGAAATTTATCCAAAACAAGAGCCGCAGAGCGGCTGCATGGGCTCATCTGGGTGCTAGTGAGTGCTAAGAGTGCTAAGAGCTAAGAGTGCTAATCTAAGTAACTTAAGTAACTTAAGCTAAGTAACTTAAACTAAGTAACTTAAGCTAAGTAACTTAAACTAAGTAACTTAAGCTAAGTGCTAAGAGTGCTAAGAGTGCTAGTGACTATTCCAACTATTCATAATGTACACTACAGAATCTCATATATAACTCATCTCATTATCTCCTAAGTAAGCATTGTTCAAGTAAGAGTTATGTGTGGAATTTCACTGTAAAGTGGGAGCGTTCCACATCCACAGGTACTCCTCGCCAACGCAGTTGAGAAACAAATCAATGTTTAACCCTCCTACAGGCCGCAATAGAGAGCTGCCACCTGTACCTAATTAACGCAGGCAAAACCTACACCAACTATTACCACCACATGCACTGGCAGTGGCCACTGGCAGTGGCATATTAACATACTGACAGTACAGAATGCCATAGAAATTATACGATTTAAGGAGCATAAACCTTCTTCAAGCAAATTTAGCTTTTGAAATTTCACTGTGACATTGTAGCCTCATACATCCAGGCATGTATAGATTCTACTAGCAAACCCGGCAGTCAAATTCTTTCTAACACAGTAACAGTTAACAAATCCATGTTTAACAAATCTACTTCCCTC